TCTTCTTTTTAGTAAAATGTTTTACAGAACAAGCTTGACATTTTAACAGGAAGTGATGGTAGAACCTCAGTAACCCAGTCCTGGTTTGAAATTCAAAGAAATAAGAGACTGAATTCAAAGAGCAGCTCGCTTCAAAACGTCACACAGAAAGCCGAAGCCATCGCCTCATTTACTTTGACTTTAATTCTTTTTCTTTTTCAGACTCATCGCCACATTTCAAATGTTGTTCTCGTTCTGTAAATCCATCAAGCAGACACATTAAAACGTTACACACTCCGACTGCAGCTCTCCGCCACAACATGTGAAAAAGTCCTCTCTGATTTATGTAGATCTCATATTAAAGCCTGTTGTGCAGCAGCGCTCATGTATTATTCACAGCAACAAGCAGCGTGCGCGCCTGCTTCTGCTGCGTGTGTGCGTCGGATCTGCTGCTGCCTCGTCAGGCGCAGTGGACTGATAACAGGAAGACAATGTGAGCAGCTGATATGGTCAAAACAAACGTGATGGGACGGAAGAATCCGTCCAGGAAAGACAGACTTGGTCATAATGTGAAGAAGCAGCAGCTCTGCAGGCACCGATACTTACAGGCTGTTTAATTAACCGACGCACTAAAGCAGGTTTTTCTTGTCCTTCAGGTCTGCCATACAGAAAATACATCAAAATGTGGTAATATAGTGTTAGTGGTGCAAACATCTGTCCACTTACACAACAATAGTCTCAACAGAGGACAGATTTAACTTTGTTACATTTTTCTACCTGGATTATTGAGCAGCATCAAGAAATAGTCTCAACGTTCACAGGTTGAACAACTGGGAGATAAAGTTAGAGAGGACACACTGAGATGGTTTGGACATGTCCAGAGGAGGGACAGTGGTTTGGATATGTCCAGAGGAGGGACAGTGGTTTGGACGTGTCCAGAGGAGGGACAGTGGGTATATTGGTGGAAGGATGTTTGAAAAGCAGCTGCCAGGAAAAAGACAAAAAGGAGACATATGGACGCAGTTAGAGAGGACATGGAGGTAGTTGGAGTGAGGACAGAGGACACAGAGGACAGAGTAAGACAGAGGAGGATGACTCGCTGTGGAGACCCTTGAAGAGGGAAAAGCTGAAAGAATAATAATAATAATTGGCATTCAATAGATCAATATGTAATTCTTCAATAGGAAGACCAATAGAATAGTTGGATGTTTTAGAGCGGCAGCATCAAGTGTTTATCTCTGATGAAGCAGAATGAATCAGCAAGACTCTGAACGACTTTGACCAGAAGACATCTGTGGGACGTGTTTCAACAAAACAGCAGAGAATATTTAGTTCCTGACAAAAGACTACAATTGTTGTTGCATCTTCACATCTGAATATTTAATCTGCACACATGGGCTCTTTGATGATGGAGCTGAGAGAAAAAGAGGAAGTTGACAGCTTTAGAGAGGAGAAACCGATTGTTCAAGAGGCAGGCAAGTACAGGAAAACAAAGAAAATATAAAGATGTAAAGAAGTAAAAGTAAAGTAGAACTTTTTTTTTTTTTAACAGAACATCATTTGTTGTCATGGTAAAATAATCTAAATCGTTTAACCAGGAATAATTTAAAAACACCTAAATATAAACTTTAAGCAAAACAAAAGCAACTAGTGTGGTTGTATATAAAACTATAAATTAATGTGATTTCTGTTTGCCAGTGTACAAATTAAAAGAAAATTGATTAAAAAGATAACAGCTGTGGTTTGAACATTAAAGACGTAGAAATCATTGTGTTGTTGTTGAATCGTGGACTTCTAGATGGTTCAGAATAATATTTACACATGGTGAATATGATCAATTATCACTGATTGATTGTTCATTTTATATGATTTTATAGGAATGTCTATTGTTGTGTGCACCTCATCTGTGTTCTTTATTTAAATCAGGTCTCTCTTGTAAAAGAGTCCTCGAGGCTCAATGAGACTAACCTGTAGAAATAAAGGTAGAATGAAAATTTAAAATCTTACTTCTAACAAAACTCAACAGCCAAGCTCCGTCTTGTATTAAACATTTTCCAAACAGAGCACTGCTCTCTCAGACTGCAGGTTTACTTGTGGTTCCTAGAGCTTCTAAAAGCAGAATGGGATGAAGATCTTTCACTTAACAGGCTCCTCTCTGGTGGAACCAACTTCCAGTTTCTGTCCGTGCGGCTGACTCTGTCAACTTTTCTATTTGATAAATCCTACAGTTATGGATGGATTGGGTTTCCTGAGGTATTCTTTAGTTACGCTGTTATAAACAAACACAAACTGCTGCTGTCTCACTAAAGAAACTACAACTGGACCACTTCCTGTTAAAAGGGAGTCGTTTCTTTCCACTGTCGCCAACACACTGCTGAGGATGGGAGATTGCATAGAAGTAAAGACGCAAACTGCTGGTTTCTATAGATAGATCACTTTTAGGGGCCGACAACTTGGGACAAGAAAGTTGTGCTTGGACTCCCAGCCACATCCACATGTTGTATACAGTATAATGTATAGTAAAATATATAGTATAATATATAGTAAAATATATAGTATAATGTATAGTAAAATATATAGTATAATGTATAGTAAAATATATAGTATAATATATAGTATAATATATAGTATAAGGGCAGCGCTTCTTGGAAGCTGCAGCCCCTGTACACCTCCGTCCATCTTTAGGACGGAGGTGTACAGAACATAATTTTGATGTATTTAACTGTGCAATGACAATAAAGCTTATTCTGATTCTGATAATATAATACAGTATATACAATACAGTATATACTACAGTATATATAATAAGGTATATAATACAGTATATAATACAGAATATAATACAGTATATATTACAGTATAAACCAGAGTATATATAATAATGTATATAATACAGTATATATAATAATGTATAT